AGCTTTTGTTATTACTATTAACTTTTTTTTCTCAATTCTTTTACATTAAATTTTTATCTTTATTGAATTATGCATCGCAAGCCAAATCGTTATGTCCAATGCTGTTGTCGCGTCAAAGTTTGAATCTTGTCACATGACTTGACATGACATTACGCAAGGGCCAAGTGCCTTCCCGGCTGTCATGAAACTGGTGCCATGCGTCATGCGCGGACTAATGGCACTGGCTTGTCCTCCCTGTATTAAATATGTGCGATGTGGCATGTGCGCGCGCGTGCGTGATTGCGTTCGTGCCCGCAGTATATATAAGGTAATGTCAAGACGTCATCACACACACACGTCATCACAAGCTATCCCCCCAAAAAGCTGGTGTTACGACTGGCGTTTTCACATTCGCGCGGCGACTATCCCCTATCCCCCTCCCCCTTCCCCTACCCCTACCCCTACCCTACCCCTAACCCTTACCCCATACCCTCCCCATCCCCCTTCCCCCCGCCATCGCTATGCCAGTCTCTCTACGAAATTCCCCTGCGATGCGACGTGTGCTACGGCCGCGCACGCGCAGAGAAGCCAGGTTCGCGACGGATAAGGAAGGCTGTTTCACATCACGCGGGTCGACATTTGGTGGATGAAGTATGAGAAAAGAGAGAGAGAGAGGAGGAGATAGAGAGAGAGAGAGAGAGATGAGAGAGAGAGAGAGAGAAGAGAGAGAGAGAGGAGAGGAGAGGAGATGAGAGAGGAGAGAGAATGAAAAGGGGGAGAGGGAGAGGGAGAGAGAGAAGGAGAGAGAGAGGGAAGAAAAGGAAGGAGAGGGAGAGGGAATGAAAAGGGGGAGATGAGAGGGAGAAGGGGAGGAGAGGGAGAGAGGGAGAGGAGAGAGGGAGAGAGAGGGAGAGAGAGAGAGAGAGAGAGAGAGAGAGAGAGGAGAGAGAGAGAGGAGAGAGAGAGAGAGAGAGAGAGAGAGAGAGAGAGAGGAGAGAGAGAATGAAGAGAGAGAGAGAGAAGGAAAGAGAGAGGGAGAGGGGAGAGGAGAGAGAGCAAGAGAGAGAGAGAAGAGAGAGAAGAGAGAGAGAGACGAGAGAGAGAGAGAGAGAGGAGAGAGAGAGAGAGAGAGAGAGAGAGAGAGAGAATGAAAAGAGAGGGGAGAGAGAGAGAGAGAGAGAGAGGAGAGGAGAGAGAGAGAGAGAGAGATGAGAGAGAGAGAGAGAGAGAGAGAGAGAGAGAGAGAGAGGAGAAAGAGAGAGAGAGAGAGAAATGAAGAGAGAGAGAGAGAGGAAAGAGAGAATGAAGAGAGAGAAAAGATAGAATGAAGAAAGACAGAAAATAGAGAATGAAGAAAGAAAGAAAAGAGAGAGGAAGTGAGGAAGAAAACAACAAAGCAGGACGGAGAGAAGTGAGACGAGGTAGGAAAGTGGTGGAAAGAGAAGGCAAGGGTAGGGGTAAGGGCAGGGGGGAGGGGGGAGGGGGCAGAGGAGAAGGTGCTCCCGCTTGCTTTGTTTACTTACCGTTATTTGTTCTAAGAGTCAAATATTAACAGGATAAATAACCATGCCGGCACAAGGAGTGGGAAAATTTATTCTGTGCCGGGTAAAGCAACGAATTATATCTCTCTCTCTCTCTCTTCTCTTCCGTCTCTCTCTCTCTCTCCTCTCTCTCTCTCTCTTCCGTCTCTCTCTCTCTTCCGTCTCTCTCTCTCTTCCGTCTCTCGCTCGCTTCCCTCCCCTCTCTCTCTCTTCTTTTCCTCTCTCTCTCTCTCTCTCTTCTCTCTCTCTCTCTCTTCCCCCTCTCTCTCTCTCTTCTCTCTCTCTCTCTTTCCCCCCCCTCCTCTCTCTCTTCTTCCCCCTCCCTCCCTCCCCCCTCTCTCTCTCTCCCTCACTTCCTCCTTTATACATATTTTCTAGGACTCCATCACGCACACGCCCATCGCTCGCTCCAACACGGCCAAACACGCCCACGTGGCCGAACCAGCTGGAAATGCTGATCGAAAACAATTTCCCGAAAATCAACAGACGAGCGACGAGTCAGAGACCGAAAAACACGGCAAAGCTTACACAAAGTTTTAAAAATCAGCGGCTGTGCTCACATAATTACGTAAAACAGGACTCTAGTTCCAGTAGCGACGACTATTACGCGCGGTAGTACGTTAGCGACACGAATCGACGCCTCTCACTCCGGGCTCTGAGCAGGCGAAGCGTTTCGTTACGTGGTTCGGACTGGGTTGTGCGAATAGTGGTATTCGCACCACCCGCGCCACTGGTGCCCGGGCACGACGGTCTGCCATCGCTCAGTCATTTCACTCCCTCCCTTCCCCCGTCATTCGTGCCCTGATGAACCTGTTTTCTAATTCTCTATTTACATTCCTAGTCTCACATCCGTCAGAACGCATCGATTATGATAAACTTGGTGATCTGGCCGTGCTGTCGGTGTGTCTGTGTGTATGTATGTGCGCGTGTGTATATGTCTATGTGTGTATGTGTGCGTGTCGCATGACTTTCGGAGTCTGTTAAAACCTTAAGTAAATGTTCTGGGCACATGCATTTTATAAACTTCATGAATATACATAACATGAAACAGAAAAGGAGAGAGAATTAAGCAAGGATAACAATAACAAACAGCTTGCCAAAAGCACATAATGAAGCCGAAATATAGAAGGCAAGAAGGAAGATAAATAAAATGGAAAGAAGGAAGGAAGGAAGGAAGATAGTAATGAAAGAAATGGGGGATGGAAGGAAGAACGAAGACCAAATAACGTAATGAAGGAAAGGATGAGTTTTTTTTTAACGAAAGGAGAAGACCGAAGGAACAAGCAACGAAAGGAACAAAGGGAACGAAAGAGAGCAAACTGAACCGCAGAAAGCAAAGGCCAGAAGAAGGGAAGAAGAGAAGGAAGGAAGGAAGGAAGGAAGGAAGGAAGAAGGGAAGGAAGGAAGGAAGGGAGGGAGGGAGGCAGCAAGCAAGCAGCAGGAGAGGTCAGCCTGACGTGATGGCCGCGCCAGGTGAGGCGGGTGACGTGCCGGCCGCCCAAGGGAGCCGCCTAAGTGGATATACCATCATGGGTCTCGCGGCTCAAGGTCACGCGCGCCTCCTCATTCTCACTCCTCATTCTCGCTCTCTCCGCCTTCTTCCTCATCGGCTGCCCTGTGAGGCGCGTCTTCTAATTACTCTTCCTCATAATCATCGTCATTCTTATACTCATTTTCTTGCTTTCCTCTTTTATTCCTTCTTCCAAACTATCGCTATTCTCATTTCATTCTCATTCTCTTTATTCCTCTTCTCTCACTTCTTCCCAACCATCGTCATTCTCACTCACTCTCTATTCCTCTTCGAATGCTTCTACCTCTCCTCGCCGTTCTTACTCTCCTCATTTCTCATTCACTTCTTCGTCCTACGTTCACCACTGTTCACGTATTTCCTACCTTTTTCCTTCCTTTTCACCCTTTCTCCCCTTCTCCGTCCTCTCTCCCACGCCCTTCTTTACTTCTCCCCCTTCACTCTGTGTTCCCTTTCCCTTCGCAATTCCCTTATTCTAGCTTTCTCCCTTCTCTCCCCTTCAACGTCACCTTTTCTTTATTCCTTATCCCCATTCCCTTCTCTTTATCCCCCTATCTTAATTCCTTCCTCTTTATCCTCCTATCCTAATTCCCTTCGCTTTATCCCCCTATGCCCATTCCCTCCTTCGCCCCGGCCGCAAGTAGGGATCGTGTGGACACCGACGTTAACTACATCAATAATACATGTTCAACGCAAAGGCCTTGGGGGAGGAGCGAAGGGGCGAAGGGGGGGGGAGATGGGAGAATGTGTGTGTGTGTGTGTGTGTGTGTGTGTGTGTGTGTGTGTGTTGTGTGTGTGTGTGTGTGTGTGTGTGTGTGTGTGTGTGTGTGTTGTGTGTGTGTGAGTGTGTGAGAGAGAGAGAGAGAGAGAGAGAGAGAGAGAGAGAGAGAGAGAGAGAGAGAGAGAGAGAGAGAGAGAGAGAGAGACAGAGAGAGACAGGAGAAAAAAAGAGAGAGGGAGGAAATTATGTGGAAGGGATAGATAGGAGCCGAGAGGTAAAAAGAGGAGGAAGCAAGCGAGGGGAAAGGGGAAGGCGCGACAGAGGAGACACAAAGAAATGCGAGAGGAATAAAGGGGAGATTGAAGACAGAAAAAGAGCCGGCTGCAGCGGGACACACAGAGAGGGCACGAGAGGCGAGGGAGAAGCAGAGATGAAATGAAAGAGAAGCGGAGCAACAACGGCGAGAGGCCACAGGCGCACAAACTCATTCTCTCTCTCAACTCACTATCCACACTTCTCTCACTGTGTGTGTGTGTGTGTGTGTGTGTGTGTGTAGTGTGTGTGTGTGTGTGTGTGTGTGTGTGTGTGTGTGTGTGTGTGTGTGTGTGTGGTGTGTGTGTGTGTGTGTGTGTCTCTGTCTGTCTGTCTGTCTGTCTGTCTGTCTCTCTCTCTCTCTCTCTCTCTCTCTCTCTCTCTCTCTCTCTCTCTCTCTCTCTCTCTCTCTCTCTCTCTCTCTCTCTCTCATATATATATATATATATATATATATATATTATACATATATACATATATACATATATACACATAATATATATATATATATATTATATATATATATATATATATATATATTATTATATATATATATATATATATATATATAAGCAAAGCTCGCCTCTCACTTTCAATGCAATCCTTCGTCTTTTGTCCAGATTTTCTCCATTTCAAAAGGAAACCCAACGCTTTCCTCATCAGGACGACCTTCCTCCCTTTCTCCCTCCCCACATCTCCTTTCTCCCTATCCCTCTCTCCTCTAGTCATTCGTCCCTCCCCCTCTCTCCTTTCCTTCCTCTCTCTCCTTAATTCATCCAGAACTCCCTCCATCCTCCCCATACCTCCCTCCCTTTTCCCTTCATCCGTCCCTCCTTCTCCTCCAAATCCCTGCGTTTCTCTTTGTTCCCTCCTTCCCTCCACCATTCCCTTAGTCCTTCCTTCCTTCACCTTCACTCACCGCGGGCGTGCTCGCCTATTTCAACCCCTCGTCCAAATGGCTGCCCAAAGACACACACCTGGAAAGACAAGGGAGAAAAAACATGTAGATTATTTCAATCAAGAAAAATCTAATATCATAGGAGTATTTTGATAAACATCTTGTCCGTTTCTATCTACATTCTACATTCAAATACGGATAACGATATTTAGACATTATTTTATATGAACCGATTAATTATATCATATAATAAGAAAAAAAACGAACAAAAACATATTTATATATGTTTTTATAAAAAAAATACATTTCTGTCTTTAGCTTAGGAAAAGGAAAGTAAGAGGGGCGGAGGGAGGGAGCGTCAAGTCCTTCAAAACATGCAAGATTATGAAGGAAAGATAGAAAGTTCTATCACAGACTCAGGAAAAAGAACAAGATGAAAGTGGAAAGACAACAAAGCCACAGTCACCACCAGCAGAAACAGAAATAACAACAACAACAACAACGACGACGACAACAACAACAACAAAACGACGATGACAAGAATAACAACAGCCCTGGACGTCATTGCAACCTTCATTAGCCGAAAAGATCCTGCAGTGGCACCATCGAGGAAGATTCCAGAAAGACCCATCCTGCGGCTGGACGGAGAGGAGGAAAAGAGTGGAAGGGAAGGGGAAGATGGGAGATCACCGAGGGCGGGAGGGAGGGCAGGGGAGAGGATATAGAAGGGCGAAGGGAGGGGTGGAGGACATGGCAGGAAGGGAAGGAGCGGTGAGAAGGAGGAGGAGGATGACAAAAAAAAGAAAAGGGAGAAGGAAAAAAAATAAAGAAGGGGAGAAGGGGGAGCGACGGGAGAGAGGACAGGGAAAGTAGAGGAAGGGAAGCACCGCAGAGGGGAAGGCAGGCGGAAGAGAGGAAGGAGGGAGCAGGAGGGGAGAAGGAGGATGCGATATAATGCCATGAGTGATAGACGCACTGCGAGACGATGCTAACTGCTGACATCGTGATCTTATAGTCGTTCATATATATATGTATTAGATGTTGTCTAGTATCGTATATAGTACTTCAGTCATCGAGTGCCGTCCTCTGATACTCCAACTATCGGCACTCTCTCTCATATGAGAACACACAGCGGTATGCGAGTGTGTATAAACTACATGGTGGCGTGCGAGGCACTCAGCTAGATATGTTACAATAATGCGTGCGTACTGTCGCTACTGATGCGTATACACCCCACCCTCGCGTGCTTACGTACGACATAACCCTTATCTCTCCTCTCTCTACTCCGTGCGCTGAGCACACTAATCACATCTCTCTACATTCACATTCTAACCTGTAATATCGATTGCGTGCTTCTCTCTCTCTCTCTCTCTCTCGGTGCGTTACGTGGTGAGCGAATATCATACGCTCTGATGATATGCTATACTAGCGTATCACTACTGAGTACCGAAACAGACTGCGAGCGAGCGAGCGAGCCTCATCTATCACACATCTTATGCACATCATCACCACACACAACCACAGACATCACGACACACACACACACTCAGCTTCTCCGGCCCTCACAGCAACAGCAATCCCCCCCCCCCCGGTTGGTAGTGGTCTATTGTCTACTATTGTAGATGCGCTGTGTGTTCAACTGTAACTATCCTCAGTTCTCCTTCCATCAACGTTATGGTCATGCCTCAATGCGCGTTGTTGGCACTGCTATCGCTGGTCGTTCTCTCTATACAAAGTCCCCGGGCGATTGCATCTGAGAACTCACACATACACAACATACAAAGCGCGCGATAAAATAAGAAATGTGATGGTGTTTATAGTCCGTCAGAAACCCTGGTAATGAGGCAGTGCGTGGCCCCAGTGCCCAGCCCTGCAGGTGCGCTCGCTTACACTGGCTTATTTTTGGTCCGTCGGAACGCACGCACGCACCACACGCACGCACGTAAACACGCACTCGCACGCACAAAATCAAATACGTACATACACACGCACATACACATTTTTGCACACTCGTCCACAAAACATTACGCTCAAGTATTTCACGCGTTGAGCGATCACATCAGTTCTTCTTCCTCCTCCCTCTCCCTCTCCGCTCTCTCTCTCTCTCTCTCTCTCTCATTCTCTCTCTCTCTCTCTCTCTCTCTATTCTCTCTCTCTTCTCTTTCTCACTCTTATATCATTGTTTTCTCTTGTTATGCCGTGTATATTTGCATGTCAATATCATCCTTATTATCACTAATTACCATCATTATTACACCACAGCATCATTATCATTATCATAATCATGATTATCATCTTTATTTTGTCACTACTACTACTACTATCATCATCACGACCATTATCATCATTACCATTATTCTGGTCTTCATCTCCTCTTCCAACCTCATCCACTTCGCTCTCACCTCCCTTCCTCTCTCCCCGGAATGACAATTTATCCCACTCCCACTTCCACATTCCTCAGCTTCGAAAACACACGGCAAGAATAAATATATCTGATGCTACAAGACGTACATGCACTATCCCTCCTCCTCCTTCCCTCACAATACCTCTACCTTCTCTTTCTTCTATTCCTCCCTCTGCCCCTCCCATTCCCTCCCACTTACCATTCTTCGAACTCATCTTCCTCCCCTTATCCTTCCTTCCCACAACCCTCCTCCCCTCCCCTCCCTCCCCTTCTCCCCTCCCTCCCCTTCCCTCCTCCCTCCATCTCTTGCGCGGGAACGCAAGCAAAACAGCCCCGGCCGCCGAAGCTCAATAATTCACGTTCTCCTGTGATACTCTTGGCGGCTGGGGTTGTCAAGACCGGAAAACTGTCGCTCTTCGAAGCCTCCATACGCCTCCCGAAGCCTCGGTATTCCCCACTGAAACCTCCTGAAGCTTCGGCATTCCTCCTCTAACGTCCCGAGGCCTCCTGAAGACTCGGTATTTCCCCTGAAACCTCCCTAAAACCTCCCGAAGCCTTGGCATTTCCCCTGAAACCTCCTGAACCTCCCTAAACCTCCTGAAAGCCTCACCCCTAAAACCTCCTGAAGCCTAAAACCTCCTGAAACCTCCTGAACCCTTCCTTGAAGCCTCGGGTTATTCCCCTGGAACCTCCCCCAAACCTCCAGAAGCCTCACCATTCCCTCTTGCAACGTCTGGAAAACCTCCTAGACCCCCACCCCCACCCCACCCCCGGCGCGGACAACCCATACACCATCACTTTCTCTCTATGCAACTATCCCTGTTCTACATCTATTCGTATCTATCATCGTATATCGAACTCCTCTTTCGCCTTTCTTAACACCCATTCATAACATCTGCTATAACATGCAAAACAGACGCACGCACATCGTTACTAAAACTAATCCCACCGTAAATCATACAAACGAAAAGATCTAAATGTGCGGAAAAGTAAACTGATGACAAGGACAGACACTTAAAAATGTACTTGTGCGAATGCCACGGACTAAACCGTATTAACTATTATAGGGGAGGAAGGGGAGAGGGGAGAGGGGAGAGGGAGAGGGGGAGGGGAGCGGGTTAAAGATAGGATGGAGGAATGGGGGGAGGAATGGGGGAAGAGAAAAAAGGAGAGAGAAGAAAGGGAGAATAAAGATGGGGGTGGAGGGGGAGAGCGAGAGAAAGAGAAATGGAAAGAGAAGAAGGAGGAAAAATACGAACAAAGAAAAGAAAAAACGAATATTGGGACACACACCAAAGAAAAAATTAAAAGAAAACAACAGAGATAGAAAAGAAAGGGAAAAAAGAAAGAAAGAAAGAGAGAGATACGAAGGAACAAAGAGAGAGAGAGGAGAGAGAGAAGGGACAGAGAGGAGAGAGGGAGAGAGAGAGAGAGAGAGACGAGAGAAGAGGAGAGAGAGAGAAGAGAGAGAGAGAGGAGTGAGAGAGGAGAGAAGAGAGAGAGAGAGAGAGAGAGAGAGAGAGAGAGAAGAGAAGAGAGAGAGACTACGAAGAAAACAAAGCGGAAAGCGAACGCGGGAAAAACGAAAAGCGAAAGCACCCGCGAACACAAAAGAGCCCATCGGAGGCGCGCGCGCACGAGAGCCGCCAGCGCCCCGCGGAACAAGCGAGGGCCCGAGCGCCGAGGACACTTGCGACTCTCTTCTTTAAAAATGCAACGCGCAGCAACGGCCGCTCTGCGCCTCTGCCGCTTGCCTTTTAAGGGTGAATTTAGTAATCAGTGTAAATTAGTGGCAACATCCTGTTTGGGGTCCTGCCACCAGCCCCCCCTCGACCCGGCCTGCCTTCATCGGCCGCCCCCGCCTCCTTAGTCGGCTCTTGCTCTGTTCTCTTTCTCTCTCTCTCTCTCTCTCTCTCTCTCTCTCTCTCTCTCTCTCTCTCTCTTTCGCTTTCTCTTTTCTTTTCTCTCTCTCTCTCTTTCTTCCTCTTTCTCTCTCTCTCTCTCTCTTTCTCTTTCTCTTTCTCTCTCTCTCTCTCTCGTCGCTCTTCGGCTCCCCCATTCGTTTCTCTTTTTTCTATCTATTCGTGATTTTCTTCTCTTGCGATCGTTTCACTTCCTTATCTATCATTATTTTCGTTTCATTTTTTTCTTTATCGTTCGCAGCTCTTTCTTCTGATTGTATCGAGTCTCATTTCTCACTGCCTATCTCCACTCCTTTCAGGCTCCCTTTCTCTTTCACTCCTGCGCCCTTTTCCCAATCCTCTCCTTTTCTTCCTCCCCCCTCCTTTATCATTCCCTTCCCTTCGCCCTAACTTTTATGCCACTTCGTTCTATTACTTTCCTTTCTTTTTTCTCTATTCCTTTTTTTATCTTTCGTCTCTCCTACTCCCGTTATACCCCATTCTCTTCTTTTCCTCACTTCTCCCCCTCCTCCAAAATTACTTCCTCTTTCTTCTGTTCCCCTTCCTCGCCGTTTCTCCTCTTCCACCTTCTCCTTCCTTTCCTCCCTTCCCCAACTCCTTGCTTTTACCCTTTCACCTCGACCTATATTTCTTTTAATCATTACTTTTCTCATCCTTATGACTGACATTCTTATCCTTATTCTTAATTTCCACTTACTTTCTTTGTACTCCTTTTCTTCCGTTGCTTTCCCTTCTCCCTCCATTCTTACTCGACGGAAGA